GTGTGAAGTGTCATTAGATTGGTAGAGCAAAGACATTATTCCTTTAACCTTTTTGTACAAAGCAAAGGATCAGTTACCTGAATGTCAGCTCAGTACTAGTTTCTTAATCTGAAATCTCTGTGGGTTGAATTTATTTCTCCGTTTCTACCTTTCATATCGTTTATATTTCGCTTTCAACCTTTATAGGAGTAAGGACGAAGGTGAGTATATGTGCTTATAAGAATACCACCAATGAACCAATCGATAATGTTTATTTGATTCACTGCTTTCTGTCTAATTGCCAGTTCCCATTTAATTCAATTTTAGACGTTTCTTACATCAATACTCTTCTCTGCCGACAAACAACCTTTTAACCAAGTAGGCCCTGTGTAATCGGAGAGAAAATCCTGCCACACTGGTGCTTGGTGCAAAACCGAGTCAAGCCACCACCACATGTGTATGGAAAAGTGTAGAAAATCAAACATCTTTCTCGGCACATATAAATTCATGACTTCTCCATCTGAGTCTGATTGATCACATTGTTTGAGCTGACACCAGGAAAAAAGCCCTTTCTGTTATCCAGGTCACTATCCTGGCTTTGTGCGACGAAACTGTAACTGTGTATAGTGTTTGAGTTTTCAGACTTTTGCAGCAACCAGTAAACTTCAAACCGAAAAATTATAGTTGAAAACTGAATATGTTTATCTCTATGCTTATGAATACCCGATGAGCCCCAATAGTCTAGCGGCACATGGTTTTGACCATTTAACTGTAGAAGGAGCAAGTTTCCTTCATGTCCTGTAGACCAGACCAGACTGGTCAGGATACCGAAGAATTTAGATTCTGTCCAATCCAGTGATACAAAGTCAAAGCCAGTCAAAGTCAGCTGTTATTGTCCATGTGTGCTATACGATGCCACACATACAGCACAACATTGAGAATTTCAGTCCTCTAGACCCAACGTGCAAATCATCAATAAAAAAAAATAGAAAAGATATAAATAAAATTACAATTTAAACAAGACATAAATAAATAATCACAAACATAAATAGGAATCAACATTTAACAAGACATAAAAATAACACAGACTCATCCAACAAGACATAAATAACAATCAACAATCAAATCAAGATTGAGTATAAGGATGAGTAATTTACATGATGAAATAAAGATAAATAAATAGTATACACGTGAGGTAGGCGTGGTAGTGCAAATACAAAATCATATTGGTTAAATCAAGCAAAAACAAACCAGGACAGCCAACCATCACTGCGAACGGTACGACATCAGCAGACAATATTTAAGAAAATGTACAAACAATAATCTTGGTGTCATACGTGTATGTATCGTATATGTGTATGTAATAACGTATATATTTTTTTGTGGTGTGGTGTGTATCATTTCGTCTATTTTATTTTACCTATGATATCTATTAATTTAATTATTTCTCTTGGGTAACATTGAGAGATACAAATTACATGCATGATACATCTTGCGAGATAATGGATGAAAATTTCTTGTCATGATAATTACTAGAACCAGGCTTCATTGTGATCACACAATCCAGTCAAACTTCTGAGGAAATGCCTGCTACAAAGGCAACCCCAAAACATTATATTTACGCTGTAGGCTAATTATGGAAGTCAATTGACACTTTGAAAATGGCTTTAGCAGCTTTAGTAAGTAAACAGATACTTAGTTACTGACAGAACTGTAAAAGAAAAATATCTATTATACCACGCAATGCTCTGTTTTAGTTCCGGGCCTGACTATTATCCAGTCTGCCCTGGCTGTTAGGTTAGAAATTATAAAGACATTCCACAAGCACCCTGGGAACCGCTCAAGGGTCTGGGACAGACGCAGCTCAAGTAATTATAAGAGATGCAAGGAGATGACAGACCTGAAGAATGGAACACCTGGTCTTGCGCGCATGGGAATCTCCAATTATCTATCACAAAACCTGAAACTCCTGAAACCAAGACATCCAATAAATAACCAGCTCCCTTCAGATCTTGGGTGACATTTCCTTCTGTTTGGGCCTTGTTGGTCATCAACCACAAAGTAAGGCTATTGTTGTGTTCTTTGATGCATTTATTTTTGATTCCAAAGGCCAGTGTGTAACCCAATTTAGGAAGATCTATTGGAACCATGAATAGATAGTATAGATGTTGATAATTGGTGATATCCACCTGAGAAATAGAATATTGTGTTTCCACTACCTTAGAATGAGCCATACTAGACAACCTCCTTTAAATTCCTCTACTGAGAAGAACGAACCAAATGCGCCCTGATGCTTGCATCACGTGTGGTGAATGGTTAGTTTCTCGTGTGATGGGGCCTTGCCATCACTGTGTGAATGGTGTTGAAAGGTGAATGTGGCCATGTAGTGTAAAAGCGCTTGAAGTGTCAGAGACTAGGAAGGCGGCTATACAAGTAAGCCATTGGACATTTCATATGCTTCCGGTCATAGTCGCTTCTAAAACAATATTGATGCAAGTTTGTTGTGAATATTCTATGGAATTATACCACACAATTAATTTATAACATAAACATACCAAACTCTCTCCACTACAACTCACACCACGCCCACACACACCACCACACAACACACACACACACACCAACATCTGTCAAACTGAAATCCTGTCAAAGGCTAACCAGGTCAAAGATCACTCAGCAGACACAAACCAGCAACCACCACCCATCTCTCGTCTCTTTCATCTTTTCTCTTGCACCATGAGCTGAATTTAACATCAACTCAGACTGCACAGGGAGAGAAATAAGAAATGTGGAAGAAGAGCATTCCAACAGACTAACAACAAGCCACTGTTATCGGATGACTTGCGAATTAGATTTTACCAAGTTATTTACTTTGTGGGTGTTCTGCCAAACTGTTACGTGTATGACCTGTCTTTGAGAATGAATAGAATATTTGGTAGGCAAAATAAAAAAATATTCAAATTATACTGAAATCATTCATAACCAATTAGCACTATTGTCAGGACTAAAGCCCATCTGCCTTACGAATATATTTTATTATTCTTTTTGTAATTACTTTTTGCTTGCATACACTCTATGCTGCTGTGTCACTGGAACTTCTACTCACGGGGGATCCAATAAATGATACCGTATTCTTATCTATCTTATCTAAAAATAAAATGGTATTAATAAAAGTTTTAACCCTTTTTGCTCTGTGTCCAGTAACAGCTGAGCAATCTTACTTAGGGACAAGGAAATAAAAAAGGAAAAGTTAGGCATTATCATCAACACACCAATTGCAATTGCTGTCTGATACCAGTTCTCTAGAAAGCCCATCTTGAGATATATGAAGAGCACATAAAACAACATCTATCCATATTGACCTTGATGAGTGATGCGTTCTACCAAATGAAAGAACACATTCATGAGAATTACATTTTCCAGAAGGTTGCATTGGTTATGTGGTGTCTCCAAATAATATCTGAGATGATGATGCATACTATCTACAGGCTTTGGTGAATCAAAGTAAATGCTTACTATGGCCAATTTTTAAAGAATGTGGGATGAAAGTGTGCCTAAAATGTTTATAGATAACTCCCCTTGTTATACTATTTGGAGAACAACAGCATAAATAAATCGAAACGGCATTTTCAGTATCATCTGGTCCGTGTTTCTCAGTGGTTAGAGGATTCTCTTCATCGAAATGACAAAATGTAATAGTTGGTTTAGTATGCTCTCAAGCTTCAATACAATGGCACCAACAGATTAGAATGTGTGTTATGAATGACCCTTCCTTTTTTAAATTCCTGTACTAGATATGCTATGTACGGATTGTCTTATGATGAAATGAAAAGAGAACCAAATTTTGAAGTGTATAGTATTTTAAGTTGTATATGTTAGCATATGTTAGTAACAGGCTTAATTATCAATGATGTAAATTAGCAGCTAGTTCTAGAGAAGCATTTTGCTAACATTAGCTTGAACTAACTGAATGCTCACCATTCTGAGGCAAATACCTTAGTTTGGAACAAAGGGAAACCTGAAATATAGACATTCCACTTGAATCCAAGTATCGTTCATTTATAAATATCGTGCATCCCAATAATTTTTTCAGTGATTTTAATTTTTCAAATCACATCCATGATGTGATCATTCGATATCAAAACATTATTTCTTTTCCAGACCACAGAAATTGTACAACTTTTTCCAGCGAGACCTAACATATGATTTTAAATGACCTTATGATTAAAAACCATCATTTAGATGAAGTGGCCACACAGATTTAAGTGAACTGACAATGTAAATACTTTTGTGATATCCTCAACAATCAGTCATTCTGATGTTCTCTGCTGTCTTCAGGTAGGCTCAGCCAGGCAGTGAAACTCCACGCATTACCGTTATCCTCAACGGACAGGGTATCAAAGTACACAAGGTCCTTA